AACTCACCCAGAGGTGCCTGAGAAGACAGACCCGGTGATCTGCTTCTGAAAAGTCACAGCTTTGGAAACCCTGTGAAGCACAGTTGTTCTTTGCACACATGGTGTTGCAAGTTGACGGCAACTAACAACAGGGTCAAATGTGAGGTCCCTGGGTGGTGCAAGTGGTTTGCGTTCAGCTACTAACCTTAAAGGTTGGTGGTTTGAACCAGTCCAGTGGCACTGCAGAAGAAATGCCTGATTATCTGCTTCTGTAAAGATTACAGCCAAGAAAACCCTATGGAGCAATTCTACTCTATGACACATCGCGTTGCCATGAGTCGGAATCAACTCAGTGGCAAAGAGAAAAAAAAGGGGGGTCAAATCCATTTAGAAAGCACAGACCTGGGTTAGTTATTACTTAGATTCTTTTTATTATTGAAATAGAGTTTGTTAATTTTGTAGATCAGTGATTGGCAAACTTTAGTTTTTTCAGGCCATGCAGTTTCTGTCACAGCTACTCTCTATATATGGTATGAAATGTGAACATATGAGTGTGGATGTGTTCCAATAAAACTTTATTTATTAACACAGAAATTTTAAGTTCATATCATTTTCATGTGTCATGGAATATTCTTTGATATTTTTCAACCATTTGAAAATGAGAAAACTGTTCTTAGCACCAGGGCTGTACGAAAGCTGGCAGGCCTTATTAGGCTGCTGTCTGTGGTTTGCCAACTTCTTGTGTAGATTATTGATTGGAATTTTTAATGCAGTAAGAAACATATCTTTTACTGCAGTACGCTGATCTTTCTTAACTAGCACTTGTCCAAATTCTTAACTGGTTATTTGGACATTTGTATAATTTATTTTTTTCTTGTACTTCAGGAGTGCCTGTGAAGAAAACAGGGATTTTCCCTGAGGCCTGTGTCCTGCCTTGATTGTCTTTTCTTGAAATATTGTAATTCAGGATGTCTGCACAGTCAGTAGAGGAAGATTCAATACTTATCATCCCAACTCCAGATGAAGAAGAAAAAATTCTGAGAGTAAAGTTAGAGGAGGATCCTGATGGTGAAGAGGGATCAAGTATCCCCTGGAACCATCTTCCTGACCCAGAGGTTTTCCGACAACGATTCAGGCAGTTTGGATACCAGGATTCACCTGGACCCCGTGAAGCTGTAAGCCAGCTCCGAGAACTTTGCCGTCTGTGGCTCAGACCAGAAACACACACAAAAGAACAAATCTTGGAGCTGGTAGTGCTGGAGCAGTTTGTAGCCATCCTACCCAAGGAACTACAGACTTGGGTTCGAGAGCATCATCCAGAGAACGGAGAGGAGGCAGTGACGGTGCTGGAGGATTTGGAGAGTGAGCTTGATGACCCTGGACAACCGGTGAGCCTGCTTGTGTCACTTTCCTGGGTCAGAAGTACTGGCATAGCAGTGGGCAAAGCTGCAGAATTATAAATTTCACTCAGCTAAGTTAGAATTATGTTTTTGCTTTCTCCCCCACTGTTCCCCATTATCTGAGCTTCTCTGCCATCTAGACCTCTGCAGTACAGGTAGTCCCTGACTTACGACATACTCGAGTTAGACAAACCTCACTTACAAACCTTTTTTTTTTTTTTGGTACATCTTATTGTCAGTAGTATGTACTACATACACTGTTCCAGTGTGTAATTTGCTTTTAATTTGTAAGTTTATATGTAATGTTTCCAGCCCCCAAAGACAAATAAAGATCGGATTTATAAAGATACTGATAGAAGGCAATAATGAAAATTAAAAAAAAAAAGAAGGTATTTGACTTACATCAGAACCGACTTAGGACTGAGTAGTTGAAATGGAACCCCATCGTAAGTTGGGGACTACCTGTATATATTTTGTATGATTTCTTTTCCGTGTGTTTAGTTCTGATTGTCATCAAAACTCCTTTTGAGCTGAACCAAATCCTGTTGTTTCCAGGTTTCTCTTCGTCGGCGGAAACGGGAAGTGCTAGTAGAGGAGATAGTATCTCAAGAAGAAGCTCAGGAATTACCAAATTCTGAGCTTGATGCTGTGGAGAACCAGCTCAAGTGGGCATCCTGGGAGCTCCATTCCCTAAGGCACTGTGGTGAGAACTGGAACTCCATGTGGGCTAGAACATGAAAGTGTGGGCCTTGGTCACTCAGGGCAGTCTGGTGTCTTTATCACTTTTGTTCAGAACTCTTTGCCTGTTCTCGCCATAGGGAGTGTCACTATTAGCCTGATTCCTTGCACATAGGCACACTGTAGGATCTTGATTCTTATAATAATTGATTGGCTGACCTCAGGTCTTTTATTCCCAGACATTAACATCATCAGTCTCCTCTTTCCTTTCAACTTCTTTCTTGAAGACTTGCCCATTTTAGGCTGGCATTTGCCTTACCCTGGGCCAGCATCTACATACAGACCAAGTCCTCTATTTTGCAGGCAATATTGCTTATTTGGAGCCCTGGTGGCACAATGGTTAAGTACTCAACTACTAACTGAAAGGTTGGCATTTCGAACTCACCTAGGGACGCTGCAGGAAAAAGACCTGCTTCCGTAAAGATTACAGCCAAGAAAACCCTATGGGACAGTGTCATATGGGGTCACTATGAGTTGGAATCAGCTGGTTGGCACCTAACAACATTGCTTTCTTGCCATCTGTTTTATATCCTTTTACTATCAATCTCCTGCCTAATCCTATTGGTACAATAAGCTTGGCTTCCCTACTCTTTTTGTCTGTTGGTTATAACTGAAGTCTTTCTAAATTTTTAGCTAGTTCTGTTTTTTTCTTCAACATTCTAAGAAGCATCTTCTGTAGAAATGATATTTTGGTAAAATTCTCCACTTTCTCAAAGTATTTATGCAAAAGTAAGCTTCCTAGCTATAACGTGCTTTAAGTGCAGAAGAAAATAAAAAGCTTATAGTTGTAATAATTTACGTAGACTAGTCTCTCCCAATATATTAAAATCAACACTATGAACTTACTTGTATACTTTAACACAACCTAGTATACTTTTAAAACTGCTGGGTTTATTTTTCAGATTCATATGAATTAAAATGGAATGCTGTTTTAGACTGTTTTGGGAATCATTCCTTGAGATGGTTGGAAATACCCTGATATGCCACAGTATGTGGCCTGGGCAGGTTTTTTTTCCACCTGAGTGGACAGTGTTAGTACTTCAGAACCTCTGGAGTGGGGCTGAATCCTGCAATTTTATGTGTTCCATGGGACAGTTTTCTGTACAGTAGTTTGAGAACCACTGTTCTTGATCTTTGGAGGTGGCATTTTCCTGAAAAGTTCTCACCTGCCTGAATTTTAGAATAATTTTCACTTATTTTTAAACAACCGTTATCTCAACACTCTAGTCTCTTCTACACTTGGGGGCTTCCACTTCTTTTTGTGTGATTTGTCCCCACTTTTATCTTCATACTCATTTTCCGTTCAAGTCTCTAGGCCTCACTAACCCCGTCTATTCTGTCTCTCTGGCTGATAAGATTTTATCTTTTTGTTAGTCATTTGTTACAGACTCGCTCATTTTTACCACTTTTTGAGTGCTGCTGCTTACCCTACATGAACTGCATGTCTTTTTAAGACGTGAAGTTTTAGTCTATTGAGACTTGCTCTTTTTTCTGCGTGTAGGGTGGGTGATGGTAACTCACATTGGTAATTTATGCCTTTCTTTCACTAGACACTTTTAACTGAGGCTTAGAAATATACAGCTTTTCCAAGTATCATGACAGATATCAAATAGGGCAAACTTCTTTTATTATTTAGGACCATATTGAAGTTTTAAATGTCATGTCCTGATTTTCACACAGGATGCCCTCAGGTTATCTTCAGCCCCATCTGGTCAGGACTCTCTTCCTATGCTCTGCTTTTGGTCTGGTCTTGGCTGTGACCTGCCTTGTCTTGCTCATTTCAGAAATAGTCACTTTTGACAGATAGCTTATTATTTATGCCTTTGTGTTTTGCTGTAGATTCTCCTTTACTCAAAGCAAAAGAACACTGTAATGATTTTCTAATGGCCATTTTTTTTTTTTTATTGTACTTCAGGTGAAGGCTTACAGAACAAATAGTTTCTCATGAAACAGTAGAACACATATTGTTCTATGACATTGGTTAACAACCCCATGACATGTCAACTCTCTCCCTTCTCGACCTTTTTTTTTTTTTTTGGTGAAAATATACATAGCCAGTGGTACACCATTTCAAATGATGTCACAGTTCAGTGACATCAGCTATGCTCTTCCAATTTGTGCTGCTATTCTCACTTTAGATGGAGGTTTACAGACTAAAATAGTTTCTCATTAAACAGTACACATGTTGCCCTCTGCCGGTGGTTTAACAACCTCACAGCACATCAACACTATCCTTACTCAACCTTGGGTTCCCTATCACCAGCTTTCCTGTCCCCTTCTGCCTTCTAGCCCTTGTCCCTGGACTGCTGTGCCTCATTAGTCCCATCTTCTTATAGAGTTTCATGCAGACTTAGCCATGTCACTTTGACTGTCTCCCTGACCAACTTAGAATCTATCATCTTTCTGCCCTTTGTTTTTTGACTGCCATTTATGGCCCATTCACGTATGTTCCCACTTTTATTCAGATACAACCTTTTAATCCTTCCTTATGTTATGTTCTGTTACGTTATTAGCCTAATAATCAGTCATTTCTTTTTTCTGTTCTGAGAGTAGACAACCTTAACACCACTTTACAGAGTGCTGTTTATAGATGTGTGCAAGGTATTCACTCTTAATTAATTAAAAAAAAAAAAAATCTGCAGGTTCTTTTTTCCTAGAATAAGAAGTGAGTGATATTTACTTTTTCTGTTTATTTCAGATGATGATGCTAGGACTGAAAATGGAGCACTAGCTCCAAAGCAGGAGATTCCTTCAGCAGTAGAATCTCATGATGTTGTTCCTGGCACTCTGAATATAGGTGTTCCTCAAATTTTTAAATATGGAGAAGCCTGTTTCCCCAAGGGCAGGTTTGAAAGAAAGAGAAATCCCTCTCGAAAGAAACAGCATATATGTGATGAATGTGGAAAACACTTCAGTCAGGGCTCAGCCCTTATTCTTCATCAAAGAATTCACAGTGGGGAGAAGCCCTACGGATGTGTTGAGTGCGGGAAAGCATTCAGCAGAAGTTCCATCCTTGTGCAACACCAGAGAGTCCATACTGGAGAAAAACCTTATAAATGTCTTGAATGCGGGAAAGCCTTTAGCCAGAATTCTGGGCTCATTAATCATCAGAGAATCCATACTGGGGAGAAACCTTATGAATGTGTTCAGTGTGGGAAATCGTATAGTCAAAGCTCAAATCTTTTTAGACATCAGAGAAGACACAATGCAGAAAAACTTCTGAATGTTGTGAAAGTTTAAGAAATTAAAAAAAAAAAAATTCAGCACTCAGGTCTTTTTCTTCAGAAATGAAGACAAAATTTAAAACGTGAAATGATACAGAATAGTTTTGTTTCCCTATTGACTGTCAGAAAATCCACTGGGAAATGTAGAAAATCGTCATCACCATTATTATTTTATCTTGAGAGAAATGGTATCATACCTGCCTAGAAACTGAAATTTGAAACTTAATTCAGGTGTTAATGCCGAAATCTTTGTGATATTTATACTTTATTATTTTTCCAAATAATGAACTACCTGATTCTTTGTCCTGTTCTTAGTTTCTCTTTTAGACAAAAAGTTATTTTTGTGTTGATCATTGAAATATTCTTTGCAAAGATGCATTCCCTTCTACTTTAAAAGGCAAGATAGGAGTTATAAAGTCTGAAAACTGAAACCGTCTTTTCAAAGTTTACCGTTTTGTTTCTTTTTACCCAGTTTGAATATGCATTTGAGAAAATCAGATAAAGGATGACTAATGCCTCACAGTAAAATGAGCCTTAAAATTTCAGCTAAGAGGTGATGGTGATAAAACATCAAAAAGTGAGTGGGACACTAAAGATTGAGGAAGATAATATACCTTGATCTAAAAATTGAAGCATATCAGGAATTTACCTGACTGCAGTTACCTTCCTGCAGGAAAACTCAAAAACAGCTCATCCTCTGTAATTTGGAGGCATCCTACTAATGAAAATAATGTTCTCCCATGCATCATTAAAAAGCAGACAGTCTGAACAACAGTTAAAACTGAAGGTAGAAATTATTAGAGAAGAATTTGTAGTAAATGGCAGTGTTGAAGGGCAAATATCAACATAAGGGTACTTGGTCTCTCTTGGCTTCTAGAAAACAAAAGACTTGAAGATACAATTCATTATTATTTTGCCTTCATTTTTGTTAAGGACAGACAATTCCATGACAAGTGGGCAACAAGTATCAGGTTTATTTGCTACTTTTATTCTTTGGTACAAAAGGGTTGAACAACAGGCTAAAAAAAAGAAATCTGTGTTTATTAAACACTTTTCTACCGACAAGGCACTGTGCTAGGTACTGTAATCCTACCATAAGTAGGTAGGTATTTTTTCCACTGTAAATCATTGGGGGTTTGGTTGATGAGTTAGCCTTTTTCCCCGTGTCTGACCAATCCTGGGGGAGGTCACCTCTGAGATTTCCAGAGCCATAGTTCTCTTACCAGGGTGTTGTATTTGGGGAGAGGAGGGGGTAACTCAGTTCAGAGAGCTAGCTAACTCTCCAGTATTTTTCAGAGCTGAAAAGTTCGGAAGTTTGCAAGTCTTAAGAAAACTAATTCTCCAGTAGCATTGAAGCTGTACCTATATGTTAAGTTGAATGGACTGTTCTGTTTAAAAAATAAACAGCTAGCTTATTAACAACTAGTTTGTTAACTATCAGAATTGACTGAACTTTTTTAAGTTTTCAGTCTTAACACATTTTTTTAGATGTATTAAGGTAATACGTTGTAGTAGTAGGATTATATACTCCTTGGCTGAGAATCCCAAGTGCTGTGGTTCTGCTATTTAGTGGAAAACTCTGGAAGTTAAAAATAGAGAATAAGAGAAAAAAGGCTTTTTTCTTTGTTTTTTTTTTTTTGAGTGGGCATCATTGTGTGGAAAATGACCCATGTTAATACAAATATTTCATAGTTTCAGAGATTTTGGTTCCATCTGGTGCTTGGATCAAATTCAAAAACAGAAGGTGAGATTTGCATGAGCCTGTTAAAAAGCATAGTAATAAATGCAAGGCCAGCTGCTGGAGAAGTGATGCAGAGTGGAGCATGTTTATAGATTTTCTAATAACAATTATAAGATGTGCTTTATAGATTAAGATTTATTGAAGTATAAATGTGTAGTAATGATATAATGTATTTTAAGTTATACAAAATGTAGGGACTTTTGTTTGGGTCTTTCTCTTTATGGGTGAGGAAACAAGTCAATGTCCAATAAAGCTATAAACTCCTCCGCTCTGAGATAAAACTGTCTTGAGTTGGTTGATTTATTTATAACTGGCTGCTCTCCAAGTAGGTTTTGAGGTGGTATATTTGGAATGCTTCTGCTGGGATAACAAGATTCTTATATCGGAGTAGGTGAGAAAGGAGCAGCCTCTAAGTGGCTAAAATGTCATACTTTTTTAGGTCTTTTATCTTTCCTGTATACAAAGGGGAGCCCTGGTGGCACAGTGGTTAGAAGTTCGGCTGCTAACCAAAAGGCAGGCAGTTGGAATCCACCAAGTACTCCTTGGAAACCCTTTGGGGCAGTTAGGCTCTGCCCTGTAGGGTCGCTATGAGTCAGAATCAACTTGACAGCAATGGGTTTATATACAAAGGAACTTTCCTATGGTAGTTTTGTCATAAATGCCAAAGATGTTTGGTAATGTGAGAGCTTAGAAGAAGAAATATCAGAATTGGCAAGTATGTTTTTGTCTTGCCAGCTCTGATACCTGTACATCGCTTAGAAAGGATTTGAGGCTAATGCAAGGCAGGCACTATGGGGAAAAGGGGCTGGACTAAAAAGCTGGGTCGTGGTACACAGAAAAAGGGGAGTGATTGTACACGTGCTGTGTCCTGGCCATCTCTGGTTAGGATAAGGCCCCACGAGACAAATTGATTTAAAATAACTATTCAGTGAGTAATGAGTTCATCCAGATGTTCATTTATATCCACAAAGATAATATAATTACCATTATTGGAGGTGCCCACCTCGTGATGAGGCAGTTGCCATTCAGTGGCATAACTAGGACATCTGGTTAGCAAATGACTAGCCATTGTGTTATGGCTTGCAGACTGCTGATAGCTGCTGAATAGCCACTGAACACCCACTAATTACTGCTGGTTTTTTTAAATTTTTTTTTTATTCCGGCTTTCTTAGAGGTTAAGCTCACATTCACACCCAGTTGACACTTGATCATTTAGCAATATGTCTATCATATTTATGTGAGTTGAAGGTAGGGTTACATGTATTGAAATAATCTGCATGCCAGGCATTGGGTTAGACACTATACATATCTCACTTAGATTTGTAGGTTAGGAAAGCAAGATTTGGAGATTGTGTGACTTGCATGTGGCCAATTAGAGCTAAAGCTCAAATCTAGTTCTGTGAACTCCAAGTGCAGATATTTTTTCACTATGCCATGAGTCGTGGCTGTTAAACTTGTTATTTTATCTTTTATAGTTAAGAAATGTGAAAGCCACTAAAGTTTGTTTGAATTTTCTACAGTACACAAATGTATAATGAAGTACACCTCCCTCTCTCAGTCTCACTCAGAGGTAATAGTTACTTGGTTTGTTATTTTTCTGGACTTAGGCATATATATGTTTAAGCAAGAATGTTTAAGTATATGACCCTTGGGCTTGCTGTGGCCAGGCACTGTTGTAAGTGCTTTACAATGGATTAACTCTTAATCCTCACAGCGACCATATGAGGTAGGTACTTTTGTCCCTCTTTTACATGCACTGCACTAAGACTTGCCCTTCCACTTTGATATAGACGTTCGTTTTCATGGCAGCATACTACTCCATTGCATGAATATAATGTAATTTGCATAACCCCTTATTGATGGGTAGTTAGGTTCTTTCCAATTTTTTATTACAGATAAAAGTGTCATAAACATCTGTACATACATTTTTGCTACCTTTATAGGTATTTCTGTAGGAGAAATAGAAATGGATTTATTGGGTCAGTAACATTTTGAGAAATGCAACCAAAACGTACAAATTTACAGCTCCATCAGTAGTAAGAGTGCTTGCTTGCCTACATTCAGCCAACCCTGCGTCCTTAAATTTTGCCAATCCAGTAGGTAAAATTTGTTTTAACTCTTCTTTGATGCTTAATGAGGAGGAACATCTTTTCATATGTGTATTGGTCATTTGCATTTCTTGGTCTGTGAATTGCTTTTATCTGTTTTTTAATTATGAAAGTATAAATGACTTTTTCATTGTAGAAAGTTAAATGACATATAAGAGCAAAGAGAGATCCTTTCCTCCAGCACTTCCAGTCACATTCCACATCCCAGTTTAGTATACATCCTGCTAGTCCCTTTTTCATATATTTCTGCAAGAATGTACATGTACATATAAACACTGTTTTTACATAAATAGGATCATGCTACATGTATTGTTCTGCATCTTGCTTTTTTGTCCCAAAAACATATCCTGAGATCTTTGAATTTCTTTAATAACTGCATAGGATTCAGTACTATGAAAATAAGATTAACTATTCCCTTTTTTTCTCTTGCTATTACAATGCTGAAATAAGCATATTATTCAGCTATATTTGTGCATGTGTGAATATTTCTTTAGAATGGAGTCCTAGATGGGAGATTGCTGGGTCAAAGGGTGTGTTTTCTGATAGACCAACTTTAGCCTTCCAGGTCGTAGTAACTGTATGGAAAGTGCTCATTTCCCCATATAGCCATACCTACACTTGATAGCTTTTATCTGATGGGCAAAAAAAAAAAAAAAAAAAAAAATTAATTTGCATTTCCCTCATTAGTGGTGGGGTTGAGGTTTATTGGCCATTTCCATTTTTACCCATAAATAGTTTGTTCATATCCTTTACCTACCTTTCTGTTGGGTTATGTGTGGACGTCTGTTGTTTTTGTTTCTTCAGCATCTCTTTCCTCGTCTTTTGGTAACAGAACCCTTATTGTGGGGAACCTGTTCCCTGTGGCTTAGGTGGTGTCATCCTCCTCCATACCCCACATAGGGTGAGCACGTGACCAGGCCTGGCCATTCTGAGTCCCACAGCTCCCTAGCCACAAGCATGTAACTCAAGCCAGGCAAATGAGAACCCTCAACAGAACTTCTGGAATTATTTGGAAAAAGGCTGTACTGAGATCCCAGGAACCAAGGACCATGTAAGCCTGTATTTGTACCATGTGGAGAGAGTCCATC